GTGAGCCTCCGGGAGTGGATGGTCGCGGGGAGGCGGGGCCTGGCCGACCTCCCAGAATGGGAGGGATTGGGGGTTTCGGGACAGGTGCAGCCAAGCAGCAAGGAGAAAGGGGCTCAGCCCGGAAGCAGTAGAGCGAGGGGCTAGGAAGGAGTATGGCAGTAGGGCAGGTTGTCCTGGCCCCGCACCCACCCTCGGGAGGCTCCCCGCCCCCGCGGTCCGGAGTAGTAACCCCGCGACCTCCTCCAGCCTCTGGAACGCTCCCATCCACACTACCCCGCGGGAATCCCAGGGTGAGGTTGCTGGGGCGGCCCTTGCGGACTGCGGACTTGGAGTGTTACGCAGATCTCCAAGTCCCATCTACCACAGTCACATAATAGGCCACTGGCGTGGATCTAACAGTCCTACGACTGCCGTACTTGGTCACTCCCTGAAGTCGTGTTTGAATAGAAAAAAATAATTGGAAAGAATTCAAATGTCCATCCACACAGAACTGGCCACAGGAATGGCTGTCTGTCCAGGGTGTAAACAAAACCAAGGACCCTCTATGCTGTGATATGAAATGAGTGAAGCACGCAATTGCAGAACTGAGTAGGGAGTGTGCTGCTGTTTCCGTAAAAAGGGAGCGTGTTTATGTTTGGTAGTACTGTGTTTCCCGAAAATAAGACCTACCCAACAAATAAGCCCTAGCAGGATTTCTATGCATTTGTGAAATATAAGCCCTACCCCATAAGACCTAGTGATGGGAGTGGCTATGCAGCGTATCTGCTTAGCCACACCATGCATTTTGGCGGGGAGAGGGGAAGACATCCCCTGAAAATAAGCCCTAGTGTGTCTTCTTGAGAAAAAAATAAATATAAGACTGTGTGTTATTTTCAGGGAAACACAGTATTTGCACACGATTTATCTAAAAGGATATACAAAAACTAAGATCAAAGAATCATAAGTTGAGGGGTGGATACTGCATGGTTGGGGAAGGCTTAAGATAAACAGTTGAAAAACATAAACTTTATTCTTTAAACAGTTTTAGATTCACAGAGAAATGGCAAAGATAAGTGCTTCCATAAAGCCTGCACCCAGTTTCTTATATTTTTATGCGATAATAAGATCTTACATTGGCCTGGGTCATTTGTTACAATTAATGAACAGTGTAGATACGTTATTAACTAAAGGCCATCCTGATTCAGGTCTCCTTCGTTTTCACCAGATGTCCTTTTTTCTGTGCTAGGATCCCACGTGAGACACCACATTACACTTCATGCTCATGTTTCCTTAGGTTGCTCTTCGCTGTGACAATTTCTCAGACTTTCCTTGGTTTTGGTGAGTCAGTTGGTGAGACAGTTTTGCGGAGTACTGGTCAGTTATTTTGTAGAATGTCCTTCAACTTGAGAATCTGGCTGAAAATTTTTTCTGAGATGAAGACTTATCACTGTTTACCTTTAGTTCTTTTTTAAATACCAGAGCAATGTTAATCTATAACCTATTTAAATGTTCGAATAGAGTAGTTCAGAAAACAAACTGCAGGAACTAGGAAGGAGGAAAAGGAGAGGGGGAGGAAGGAAGAAGAGGAAAAGGAAAAAGGGAAGGGGGAAGTGAAGAGGAGGGGAGGAAGAGGAGGAGCCCGAGGGGGCTGCGCTGATCCCGCCCTGCGTCCAGCTCAGCGCGGGCATTTCCCAGGTCAAGGGCCTGGCCGAGCCCCGCGGTCGCCAGGGGGCGCTGTGCCGAGAGGTTTCTGCCGCGGACTGGGCTGTTCAAATGAGACTCGGGCCACACTGCACCACGATCACAAGCAGGGTGCCAGGCTGGCCCCACGCCGAGGTGATCACCGTCACACACACCTGTTTATAAAAGATGGACAGAACATGACTTGGGGGCTGTAGGGCGACAGGCAAGTATTTCGCTTCCTAAAGTGCTTGCATTTTTTAAATACGTGTGCTACCAATCTTCAAAGACTTTTCGGAGCCTTCCAGGACAAAGACACACGCACACAACACACTGGCTTCTTTAACAGCCTGAATGAGGCTCGTGCTCCTGCAAAATCCCAGTAGGCGCCGAGTCCCGACGTGGCACCTCACGGATGCTCTGGGGAAACCGGAGGCTGGGTACGCCCTGGTAAGAGTACGGAATGAAGGGTGGCCGGTGTCACAGTACACCAGGATCGCAGGCGAGGGAGTGAGGCTGCATACAGAGGCATCTGCGGGCCGTGACCCTCAGGCCCGGGGTTGGTGAGTGACCAGGCAGAGGACTGGCGGGGGACCCAAGGCTTTCAGGTCGCGCCTGCGCAGGAGCCGCCACAAGCAAGCCTTCCCACCTCCGGGCCTTTGCACCTGGTCCCCGCGCCCCCACCTCCGCCTGGCGTGTCCTTTCCACCCTCAGGTCCCATTATTGTGACGGGAATATCTTCTTTGGGCTTCTTCAGCCAGGTCAGAGTTCAATTTCTCTGAGAAAACCTGATCCTGATTTCCTTCCTCCTTTAACCATCCTCTGGCTCCACGCTTGCCCTGTCGGGCTCATTTGGTCCCACTCCCGGGACAGCCTGAAGGAGTCAGTACTGCCTTCGCCCTTCATATAGCTGCCCAAATTCAAAGAGAAGAGGCAACTCGCCCAAGTTCCAACCATGACCCTCCCTCTCCCTCAGCAGTTTCCAAATGTTTTTCCCCACGCGCATCCCCTAAAATAATTTTGAAAAACATCTGTGTACCTCAACTCATAACGTTAAGCTGACATCCAGACTTTCTCATTGTAAGTTCAAACAGTTGCTAAGGATGTAATTTCCAGTGTATTGTAAATGCTGACTAAAAGACAAAAAAACAGAGTAGATGACATTTTAAAATGTACCCAATGAAATCTAAACATCCTATGGATTCTATAGAAACCATAATCTGTTTTGAATATGCATGAATGAACCCTCTTTAACATTTGAAAAGTTTATACTTCATTTCCCCCTTTGACCTATTTCCATTCTGCTCCCCCTACAAAATGTTATCCTCATATAATACATATTTTATATTTGAATGCTTTTGTTGATAACTTAACATGTCTTTCAGCAACAGAAATACATGCACAAATTGAAAGTTTTTTTATTTGTTTTCTGTTACTCTAAGATTCTAAGTGTCAAAATTTCTTCTAGATTGTCATATCGTTCCTTTTATTAGTATAAAATCAAAAGTTATAAATATATTTAGACAATTGAAGAATGATTATTAAGTGGAAAATTTTATCAAAAATGAATATCCATGGCTCGGCGCCTGTGGCTCAAGTGGCTAAGGCGCCAGCCACATACACCCAAGGTGGTGGGTTCAAATCCAGCCCAGGCCCACCAAACAACAATGATGGCTGCAACCAAAAAATAGCCGGGCGTTGTGGCGGGCGCCTGTGGTCCCAGCTACTTGGGAGGCAGAGGCAGGAGACTCGCTTGAGCCCAGGAGTTGGAGGTTGCTGTGAGTTGTGATGCCATGGCACTCTACCCAGGGGAATAGCTTGAGGCTCTGTCTCAAAAAAAAAGAATATCCATGAGAGGGCCATGACTTTTTTATCCCTCTTAGTTCATATCTGGGTGGCCGACTTACTTTTTGATAGAATGCAATGGGGTTCAGCATTAATTCTATTCCTATTTTTCTTTTTTTTTTTTTGAGACAGAGCCTCAAGCTGTCCCCCTGGGCAGAGTGCCGTGGCATTACAGCTCACAGCAACCTCCAACTCCTGGGCTCAAGCAAGTCTCCTGCCTCCGCCTCCCGAGTAGCTGGGACCACAGGCGCCCGCCACAACGCCCGGCTATTTTTTGGTTGCAGCCATCATTGTTGTTTGGCGGGTCCAGGCTGGGGATTCAAACCCGCCACCTTAGGTGTACGTGGCTGGTGCCTTAGCCAGTTGAGCTATAGGCGTCGAGCCTCTATTCCTATTTTTCATATTTACAGATGTTAATGCTGAGAAACCTTGTTCACATGAAGTAAAAAAGAATGAGAAGAATTTTGTTACAGTATTAAAAGTAAATCCCTTAGACACATTTCGAATTCTATACTAAGAATCACTTATTGAAAAATTAATACTTTCACCAATCTATTAGCATGGTTAGGTCCTCTTTTCATTTTGAATTAGATGCCACAGTAATTAGTAAGTCAGTTGAGTCTTTCATTTTCTCAATTCTAAATCAATGTTTTGAATGGAACATTCCTTCTGTTTAGTGCTGGAGGCTTTCACAGCTAAGTAGCAAGATCCTTCTGGTGGAAGACAGGCAGGGGTGGAGGTAGCAGTGGCCTGACCCCCACTGTGGCTCTCTCTAGCTAATTCATTTTAGGAAAGTTCTTCCTGGGATGTCTTCAGGTGACATTTGATGGGATTTAGATGTGATCTGACACATAGTAGAAGTTGTTGCAATCCCATTTTACAGAATGAAAGCGTGTGTGTGTGTGTGTGTGTGTGTGTGTGTGTGTGTGTGTGTTGGGAGTTCCTCAGGGCTGGCTGAGGGTAATTTAATAAAAATCTGATGAGAATGATTCTTCTTTCCTGGTGCTGGATGGACCCAGGCAAGAGACCACCTGCAGGCAACAATCCAAGCCCGAGGGGATGGGGGTACATCCTGCAAGGTGTCTGCAGAGGAGAAGTCAAGTAGAGACACATGCCAGAGTCAGCCAGGACTCTGACAAGAGAAGCCAAGAGTGACTCCAGACTGGGATGACCAATGTCCAGAAATGTCCAGGCGCCACTGCCAGGGAGGAAAACAGAAAAAAGGGCCTGTTGGGGGGACCCAATAATTCTAAGGTTTGCATATATTCTATTACACAAATAATATTTACTTGTTATAAAATATACAATATACGATATGACTCATGCATACTGTATGAGTCAGCTATCTCTGCGCTAGTATTGAGATGACACAGCAGCCAAAACTTAATGGCTTACACAACCAACAGGTGTTTTTTTTCCTTCATTTTTTAAAAAAACAGCTTTACTGAGATATAATCCCCATGCCATGCAACTCACCCATTTAAAGTGTACAATTAGTGATGCTTCAGGGCACAAATACTAAAATAGGAACAATACAGACAAGATTGGCATGGTCCCTGCACAAGAATGACACACGAATTCATGAAGCACTCCATATTTTTAAAATTTAAAAAGTGTTTCATTAACCAAGTTTGGGTATATTATATTACTTTTTAATTTGTGCTAAATACACGTTACATAAAATTTACCATTTTAACCACTTATGAGTGTAAAATTCAGCGGCCGTAAGTACATTGTCAGGGTTGTGAAACCATCATTATCTATTTCCAAAACTTTTCATCTTCCCAAACAAAAACTCTGTACCCTTTAAGTGGTAACTCCACATTGCCCCTCCCCCAGCCCCTAGTAACCTCCAATCTGCTTTCTATCTCTATGAACTTTCCTATTCTAGATGTTTCATGTAAGTGGAATCATGCAATATTTGTCCTTTTGTGTCACTTAGCATCAGGTAAGCGTGTCTTTTTCTTGCTGTCGGGACCGTGGATCAGCTGGGCTCAGCTCCAGGCCGAGGCTGGGTTTAGCTGCTCTCCAGTCCTCATGTTCTCCTCAGAGCAGCTGCTCACTGAGGCATGTTCTTTTCCCAAAGAGTCACAGCAGCCTGAGGGACCAAGCCATGCCAAGCCAGCATATGTAAGCCCTCTGATCTGGGCATGTCCATCAAAATTCTCTTGGCCCAAGCAAGTCACATGGCCAAGTTCAACATCCATGGGGCAGTGGGAGAGGATGTTGAGTCCCAGGGAAAAGGAAAGAATCAAGAACAATAATCCAACATGCCGCACATACAGACACACACAAGTAACATGCCCACAACCCACCCTCATCCCAGTCCCCATGAGTGGTCTTCCCAAGCACACACATGAAAATAAATGCTTGGGTTTTAGGTATACAAATGGGATCCTTCTGTGCTTATAGTTCTGCTGCTTACTTTTTCCACTTACCACAAAACTGGCACTCTCTCCCCACCACTACATACAGCCTTCCCAGTTCTCAGTAGCCACAGCAGTGTCTGTGAGACACACAAAGGGAGACACGCCAAGACCCAGGAGGACGCCCAGGAGAGGGGCCTCAGAAGAAACCAAACCTGCTGACACCCTGATCTTGGACTTCAGCCTCCAGAATCTGGAGAGAATAAATGTCTGTTGCTGAAGCCACTCAGTCTGCTCACTTTGTCATGGCACCCATAGCTACTCTGGCTCTTCTAATTCTAGAATGTCTAATTCTTCTCCACTAGTGACACAGACTGCAGTGAACATTCTTGACTGCAGAATCTGAGGAATTTGTGAGCAGTCAAAAATTAAATTCTCTTCTGGATGCAGGTAGGTTTGCTGTATCACCCCAGGAGCACATGAAGAATTGTCCACTTATCTGAAGGTGAAGAACAGAAGCCCCAAGGATGGCCCAGTCTGAGGCAGGGGGTCCACAGCTGTTACAAGTGGGGACTTTTATTTATTTTTACCCCAGACTCTCCCCAAGCTTCTCTCCCACCCACAGGCCACCTTGGCAGGGATCAGAACCAAACTGTGGCTGGACCTGGCCTGGTAACACCACAGCCTGTCTTTCCTCAGACAGTTTTCTGCAGTGACCACTCCAGCTGGAGGGACATCAGGAGAGGTGGGTTCCAGAATCTATACACACTGTGACTCCCATCTCCTTTCCTGTCCTTTCTGCTTAAAGCAAAAATAAAAAGAGAGAGGCTTGGTGCCCATAGCATAGAGGCTAGGGCGCCAGCCACATACACCGGGGCTGGTAGGTTTGAACACAGCCCAGGGCCTGCCAAATAATAACAACTACAAAAAGAAAAAAATTAGCTGGGCATTGTGGCAGGCGCCTGTAGTCCCAGCTACTTGGGAGGCTGAGGCAAGAAAATCACTTAAGCCCAAGAGTTGGAGGTTACTATGAGCTATGACGCCACAGTACTCTACTGAGGGCGACATAGTGAGACTCTGTCTCCAAAAATAAATAAATAAAATAAAGAGAGAGAGAGAGTGGAGAGGCTGGGTGAGGGGAAGGGTTTTCAGTTAAGGAAGAAGTCTGGGGAGAAAGGGCCTACTTGGGGCTTCACTTCTCTTGGGGAACTTGGGTCAGTGGCAGAAGTTCAAGCAGAGTCTTGGTGAGGGGCAGGACTCAGCTGTGGCCCAGGTGTCTCATCTCATTATTCTGCCATAAGTCAGCTGAGTGAGTCAGGGAGGTTCAGGGAGCCTGGTGTGGGGAGTAAGGAAGAGGATCTTCTTCAGACATGGCCCTCCGGGAAGCAGCCAGCAGTTCTGTCATCCGCCCAGGGCAGTAGAAGGCCACAGTCCTCTCAGGTCAGAGTTTTGTTTTGTTTTATTTTAGAAACACAATCTTACTTTGTCACCCTTGGTAAAGTGCCATGGTGTCACAGCTCACAGCAACCTCAAACTCTTGGGCTTAAGTGATCCTGTTGCCTCAGCCTCCCAAGTGGCTGGGATTATAGGCACCAGCCACAATGCCCAGCTAGTTTTTAGAGACAGGGTCTCACTCTAACTCAGGCTGGTCTTGGACCTGTGCGCTCAGGCAATCCACCTGCCTCAACCTCCCAGAGTGTTGGGATTACAGGCATGAGCCACAATGCCCAGCCTCCCGGTTGGTTTTTGACTTGACAAGTGGACAGCACACCTGAGTCAGCCTGTCATTGTTGGAAGCTCCAAGAGCCATCGCTTCACCCTGTGCTGACACAGCACAGAGAAGGAGGAAGGCCTGGCCTCTGCGGGCACAGATGTTCTCTGAGGGGCTGCACTGTCCCCAGACCATGGCTGGACACCCACTGTTAGAAATGCTGATCGGACCCAGTCTGTGTCCTGTGTAACGGCCTCAGCAGCTGCCACAGCCCATGAAACAAAGGCCATGGTCCTCACATGCCCCCATTCGCTAACCTCTTAGCTCATCTCCTGCCCCTAATCCCACCCTGTCCAGCACCTCATTCCCTCAGCCTCCCCGGCTAATAATTACCGCTGCCCTGCTGCTCTCCACCAGACCACAGACAGGCCTCCCTGCTCCGACCCTCATGGCCTTGCATGCCTCTAACCCCAACACTCACCACAGATCAGTGTCATGATTTCTTAATTACCACTTTCCCCACCAGACCACAAGCACCACCACAGCAGGGGACACACTGCCTCCCCTGTGGGACACAAGGCCACCCCACGGTGGGCCCTTGAGCATCCAAGCATTTGAGGACAGCAAGAAACATTTCTCACATTACAGTAATGGTGTGTCTTTTCTTCCTTTTTTAAAAAATTATTTCGTCTTTGATAACCTGGCAGTAATCGAAAATGTGGAAAGAGTCACACTTGTTCCCTTTCTGGGGGATGTTACCATGACTGCCTCCCACAAGCACGGTCACAGGCCACGATGAGGCTGGTTCCAAAGAGCATGAGTGGTAAAAGGGCTTCCTGGCTCACAGACTGAAAAGTTTGGCTACAGAATCCCCGAGGGGTAGCAGCGAGTGGAGGAGGAATGGGAAATGTAAGAGCCCTTCAGAACACAGGATACCGTTGCTGGGTCATGAGCACCTGGAAGAGCTTCCTGATGGTGATTTGGTGTTATGACTGCTTGTCATCTGAGGAGAACTGAGCCGGAAGGGCTGAGCAGGTCTGCTGTCCCTTAGAGTCAAATTTCTTCAGCACGCAGAGCTGCTATCCCTGCTCTTTCAGGTACTATTGAAGAAACATGACCACACAGAAGCCAGAAGCTCCAACCCTTCTGCAGCTCTGTCTACCCAACCCCCAGAAATATCTGTATCCCCAGGTTTTAATCTGATCAAAAACTTATTTTCTAGTTTCTTTTTTTTTGTTTTGTTTTGGTTTTGTTTTTTTTTTGAGACAAAGTCTCACTTTGTGACCCTCAGTAGAGGGCTGTGGTTTCACAGCTCACAGCAACCTCCAACTCATGGGCTCAAGTGATTCTCTTGCCTCAGCCTCCCAAGGCACCAGCCACAATGCCTATCTATTTTTTAGAGATGAGGTCTCCCTCTTGCTCAAGCTGGTCTCAAACTCGTGAGCTCAGGGCAATCCACCGCCTCGGCTTCCCAGAGTGCTAGGATAGCAGGCGTGAGCCTCCACACCAGGCTATTTTCTAGTTTCAAAGTTGTGCAGACTCTTATTTCTGTAACCAAGTGGGCCTTTCCATGAACTGTCCGAGAATGAGCTCTAAAACAATTGCCCACTCCCCAGTACTGGTGGGCAGGATGGCAGGTCCCCTAGCAGAGGAGAAGAAAGGAGGAGAAGAAAGGGTTACAGCTTACAGCACCCTTCTCCCAGGGCCTCCCACGCCCTCCTACTTCCAGGTGAGACAGGTGGTGGTGGGTGCGGTCCCAGCAGCCCTGGGGCCCCATGGAGCTGGGCCTGCTCCTTCCAAGTTCAGACTTGGCACAGGACAGCGGTTTTCCCTTCATTTCCAAAAGGTGTGACAGTAATACCAGGGGTCCTGTCACTGTAGGCTGTGTTGGGACATAGAGCTATGGGACCCCCTCCTTCACAGAGCTAGTGGGTGTCATGGTTCTCACCTTCAGTCGTCTGGCTATCTAAGCACTACTCCTTTCAAAGCATATCACAAACATCTCCTCCTGCACCTATATCGCAAGCATATGTTTGCACCTGAAATTGCACAATTCCGTTGTGACAGTTGCCTCATCTGGCTCATAGTTTAAGGCTTAGCAGCTTCACTAATTTAGATGAAAGTCTGATGGCCAATCTGATTACAAAGTAGCATTTACTGGAAGATTGGGCCCCAAAAGGAGATTGGTCTGGGGCCCCAGAACCAAGACACTCCAATACTCTGTGCATACATACTTAGTAGGCATTCACTGAAGGTTTGTGCAATGAATGCATGAAATGACGTTTGATATCCTTCGTTCATCTACCTATTTACATTTAACTGATCAAAGATTTTATCAGAAATCGGTCCCCACTTAATACATACACATATACCCCACAGAGCAGGTCTTCACTCATTGAAGAGGGAATTGGTCACAGTGAGCTAATTCACCTTACAATCTTTAAATCACTAGAGCCAAAGAGGGGTGCAAGCCAGAATCTTCTAGAACATTGCTTTTCTCTGCAAAAAGAAGCAGTCAACGAGA